ATCATAACAGTATCAAAGTGACTGCGATCATGCTAAGGTCCAGCGCGGTTAGCTCATCATGGCGATCTCCGGTCATTGCAATAAAGCAAGCCTCAGAAATTACACCGGCCGCTCTTCGAGCGATCAAATAAGAGCTTGCTCTGGTATCCTTTCGATGTGTTGAGTGGAAGGCCATATCAGTCAAAATAACAGAGTTTTACGGCGCTGTTATTCCAAGTAATCTTCATGTTGCGGTGCATTCGACTGTCGTTCATTCTTTAACACACACCTTGAGCAGTTTGTTCTCTAGTTGTCTCAATAAGTTTCTCCCTACACTTCATTCGTGCTGAAGTCGCTTCCTGCGTGCTTTACAACAGAACAGAGCACAGTTAAGGCTTTTCTATTTTTTAAATTATGTATAGACGTCAGATTAAATTCCCAATCCTACACGCAATGTAGCTCACGCCACTTTTCGAGCTCTTTCACTGGTTCTGGACCCCGTGTCTAATTTCGTTACTATCGTTATTCCTTGAAGAAAATGTTTTTTGGCTTAAGTTTTCATCCGGCTGTGTCATAAGAATCCTTAATGGTTTGAGTTTTAATATAGAAGGTTGGAAGAAAGTTGAATGGGTTTGATATCTATCTATGTGAATAGCACGAGCAGGAATGTCCAAACCCCGCCGCATATTTGCTTTGTTCACGTATATTTTTTGATTTTTTTTTTTGCATGTAAAATAAACCTCCCACCCGCGCGCTCAGCTCTTTCCCGCCATAAATTACACGCACGTGTCGCCACCTTTCCACCGCCCGAGATCCTGGTCAGGTTTCTCCTTATTTATTACATCGCTTTGGTTCCTTTTTCAGTTTGGTTTTTCATTATTCGAAAGTTTTAAAGAGTTAACATTTATGTGGGCACGTATAAATAGCGTGTGCAGGAAATATTGCCATCTTAGATTCTGAATCACGCAGTATCTTTGCTTTGTTTACATGATGTATCGTAATCTAATTTTGAACAAGTTACATAAGTTGCAGTTCGCGTTTCATAACCCTTGCCAGATTACCAGTAGTTCGCGTACTAACCCTTGCCGGACCTGTCCAAGTTGTGACATATGATAAATTATGCAACATGCAACGAGGCACTTGGACGACAAATCCCGCGCCGGAAGAAACGTATTTTTCCAATGACACTCTATGTGGCTTTTATAATAAAGCTCGGATATAACACGTACTGTCATTGGTTGAAAGAGCGTGCTCTATGAGAGTATAGAGCATAGAACTGAGCTAAAGCTGTCACGCCATTTGCCACAGCGGAACAAGCGAGCAAAGGTTTGCAAAAATGCCAGGCGCAGTAATTTACGTTACTGTAACGTGAGCAGAGACAAAAATCCTCAAAGATAAAACAAGATAGACAGTCCTAGTTTTTTTAACGGTTTTCACGCTCAGTTAGATTGCGAGTTTACGTACGGTAATAAAAATCAAACACAGCTAACACTTGTATAATGAAAGAAAGCTAACCTTTCCCGCCCCCGCGAGAATTTATCCCATAATTTCCTCCTCGCGTGTGTCTCAAACATTCCTGCCCACGCCAGAACGGTGTCGCATGTCTTACAAATTTTCTATACGTCAGCTTTTTTCATGCCATCTCAAATCAAAACCTAAAGGATATTTTGGCTACAAAACCAACGGTAAAAAAAAAACTTGCGTAACGTATCTGCCAATGGTTTGGACTTTGTGATATGCGTAAATAATGTGAAGCGTTATGTTCGTTCGTTCGTTGTTTTGCGAACATAGTCAACACTTGATAAATATTCATGTTTCCTTGCATGATATCTGACTGACTTGAATTTCAGCTTTCATTACGCGAAATTTTCTCTCGAGCGCGATCTACTTCTTCTATTCCTTCTTTCACTCATTCCCTCTCTTTCCTAAACTTGTTTTATCCAATTTTTTTTCTAAATTGCAATACCGTAAAAAAACAAGTTCCTATGATACCCTTCTTGTTCATAGATAATGCGTAATATTTCACTTGTCATGCTTTTCACCTGTGATTTTCTCTGATAGCTTCAACGGAGCCGAGTAGTTATCGGAATCCTGGTTAGGACGCCATGCACACAATGATCTTAGAAAACTTCCGATTCCAAAAAGACACGATGACATTTTCGCCTGATAGTGCGTTGTCTCCAAAAAACCTTCACAGGGGCATCAGAGTTCGTCCTAGTCCATGCTTACTTTACGAGCCACGTGGTCAGAACGGGACTTCGATCATACCTAGTAAAATTACGTTCTATCATAGATAGTAAAATTACATTCGATAATACCTAGTAAATTTATATTCGATCGCACCTAGTAAAATTACTTTCGATCATACCTAGTGAAATTACATTCGATCATACCTAGTAAAATTACATTCGATCATACCTAGTAAAATTACATTCGATCATACCTAGTAAAATTACTGTCGATCATACCTAGTAAAATTACATTCGATTCAGTTAGTTTACTGCTACCCAGTAAAATTACGTTCGATCATACCTAGTAAAATTACTTTCGATCATACCTAGTAAAATTACTTTCGATCATACCTAGTAAAATTACATTCGATTCAGTTAGTTTACTGCTACCCAGTAAAATTACGTTCGATCATACCTTGTGAAATCACGGCCCAAACAAAGACCCAACAGGGGTATGGCAAGGCTGTGTGTGAGGTTTTAATGCTCTAACGTGATGTTATAATCTGCTTTGTAAGCACTTTCAGTTTTGTTGATCGCGGCTTTTGTGTCATCATTAGTGTATTTTGGTCCCTTGAAACATGCAAATACTTTTGGACAACATGATAGAAAGGGCTTGGCAATAGCAGAATATGAATTTGTCATTTAATGAAATCCTTCTGGTTGTTAAGATTTAGCTTTGAAAAATTAACTGATTGAGGACATCATTCGGCAGCACCAGAAGTTGGTGGTCTCGCAGATTTAAGATTCGCATCGATGGAACTCTTCGTCACACGACTGGAGGTGATACTTCAATTATTCGTAGCGTAGGGCGCTGAAAACGTTTGGTGACCGGATTTTGACCGTAAAGTTACGGGAGTCTTCTCTGTTTCCGAGCTAAACTGAATTTCAAATACAAGAGACGTGCGTCGCCAACTGTCAAACGTGAAGAGAGGTCAAACGACATGTTGCTAGTGGAAACACGACTTTACTTCCGTACGCGCCGAGCCTCACTCAATTGAACTCGTAATAATCAAAGTTTACAACAAATTGCAAATAGCTGAGGTACTCTGAAAGGTGTAAGTCACTGGCTGACTGGATTTCCTTTTTTTCTCGGATACTCGTTTTGCGACAAATTTCATACTTAAAATGCATTTTGACTTATGTAGTTTTATAAAATCTTTCTCCTAAGACTGTTGACAACTTTGATCACGTCTTCAATTTTTGATATTTTTCATGTCACTTTAAAAAATTCCATTGCGAAAATCTCAGATTTTAATGCCTTATTCCATCGCATCGAATAGATCGTAAGAATTTTGTGTAAGTGTTGCTAAATAGATAATTTTGTCTGATAGTATATTGTAGCATACTATAGTTGACAGAATCATAGCCAGAGTACCTTGAGGAACGCACAAATTTATCGATACTGTAAGGGAAATTCTCATTTGAGGTCCGAAAGAAATACAGCATTGTTATGGTTTTGCTTCACTTCCACTGTACGCTTTGCGATGGGTCTGGAAAACTAGCAGCTCATACTCGATCGGAACTCAACAGTTTAGCATGATACAAACTTAAATTAAGAGCGACTCGGTCTGACTCACAGTTAACTGCGCTGAAAACCGAACGTCTTCTCATTTGATATGTATTTAGTTTGGTTAGCTTTGCTCCTTGAACTACTCGTATTTTCCTCTATTTTCGAACTTTGTTCAGACTGGTTGTTTTATACAACCTACTTTTAATTTCACAAAACGCAAACGGAAAACAATAATAGAGAGATCTTAGCTACAATGCAATTTAAATATTCCTTTGCCATACGTGTAACGGCGTATGTACATGGATGACATTGTTATTCAAGAGCATTTTGTGAACCTTTTAAGCATAAATTTTCAGCGTATCTGATGATTTCGCGGCACAGGGGCGGAAATTAGAAGCGGAGATGCTAGCGAAGAATCCGGAAGATTCTTCGTCTCCAATCTTCCCCAGCTCCGTCGCCGAAAAGTTCCCAATTTACAGCCGCCTAATTTATTCTGTGGTCATCATGCCATGACATGATAACTCAATGACGATTTGTTGTATTAAAACAAAATTACCATTTGACACCTGTCTATCAATCATTTTCGCGCCAAAAATACGAAAGGCAAAAACCTATTGCAGCATTTCCCGCAACTCGTTTAGTAGTTATAAAACAAATCCGCTCGTTTACACAAATACAAAACTAACACCGCCAAAAAATGGTTGCTTTGTTCGATTAAAATCAAATCAAATAAGAATCATTAGTTCGAGAGAAACCAAATTTAAGGGGAAACTGACCAAAGCAAGTTTGGATACTGCATGAATATTCAGTTATATTTAACTTATTTGATAACGACATTACTAACAGCTCTGAAATTCTTCAACTCAATCCATTTTCCTTTCGATAAACTTAGAATTTTGTTAAGCTTCCTATTAACCCACCTGAAATCTTTTCGGCGGTCAGTTGGTGATATGTCCTTTTTCCGAGCTGGTTTTGAGAGGACTGAGAACGCGATCTGCGCGGAGATCGCAGTAGTCTTATGAACCTACAACAAGGAGACGCCATGTTTCGTGAACAACTTCGTTCCTCTTCGTCTAGAAATGACTCTAGAGACTTGGCCAGAAGACTGAAAATATCTCAGTTAAATGAGCCGTTTAAAGTCTAACGCGGTGTTTCCTTTCCGCCCAGCACCAGAATCGTGATGACGATTTAAAATATATGACGTAAATATAAAACCCCATGCTTTTAAATGTCACGTGGGTGAATCTGAATATTCATAAATACGCCAAATAAAATAATGCACAGAACAGGCACAGTTTAGAAATTACATAAAATTAATGTTTATGATTATTACATTTCTAATCTGTGGAACCTCTATTAAGCCCCATCTCCCGTGGCTGACCGCTTAACACAGGTTTGCCTATCAGTAAAGTTACATCAACTTAATGGTATATTAATGTAATTTTAACGTAAGGGAGGGTCTATTGGTAAACATGCAGTGTGCAGATACTTCTCTCAAGCGCATGTAAATGTGCACGGCCATGAACACTTTCGGCATGATACACCAAAGTTATAGTGCAATTACTCATGCACATTTCATGTTCATAACTGCTAATACGGGTGGCTACTATCAAATTAAGTACCTTTTTTTTTCATTTTCTTGAGAGGCATGTAAACTTGGCAAAGTCATGAGATGGTAATGGTTAAACAGGACATATTTGAGGTAAATAAGAAAATGAGAGTGTAAATTTATGTTGAAATTTCAAGGCTGAAATAAACTTTGTCAAAGATGCTATTAATAATGATTGAATTTTAGGAGGCAACTAAATAAATACTACAGAATTATGTTATAAAAACTATTGCCTTGGCACTCCACTAAAGTGGACACTTTCCTAAGATCTTAATAACTGAAGCTCCTTCATGAGAACCTCACAGCATTGTCCTATTGTTCTTTCCATGACAAGCATCTCTGACGGATCAAAATTGCTCAAGACATATTCTGTCACATTATCTCTCTTGCTTGGTCTTCCTACCCCTACACGAACTCTCCTCAGGCTCTAAAAAAAATAATCAAATACACATCGAATAAGACATAACATGAATCATCTCTTGAAATATGCCACAGGTAGACCACTGCCTAAAAGTCAGTCATGCAAAGGGTGTAATAAGGGGTTGTCATTAAGAAATGCAATAGCATGCCTGAATGTCTGCATATCTAAATAAAAAAAATAGGCTGGGCCACTGAAATTTAAGTGGAGAATTTTATGTAGTACCCTGGGAATTCTCTGATCACTGATGTCTGATTATGATGAGAGAAAAAGTTATTTTTTGATAGCTGAGATTTCATCCTCTTCCCTTCTTCCAATGTCCACAATCACAATAAAGCATAAAAGAAAAACACAGTAACTCACATCAGAGTGAAGAGATGCAATTGCTGATTTTACTCTGTTGTGACCCCTGCAAAAAATGTTACATACATGTTAATTGAAATTTCAGCATACAGATGAACAGAACTAAATCTTCATTTAGCATTTTACATTGTCAGAAATAACAATTAGAGCTTGAAGTATAATTTCATATTCACATAGCACATGTTGTGGGAGAAGCAGTGGCCTTACACCTAGCTCTCTCTCTCTCAGTTTTTGTCCTGGTCCTGATGACAGGTTCTTTTTAGGACAGAGGCTCTCTCACTGTGCCTCTCATGGTTGTGCTGAGGTTAAATTGTCATTCTCAAACCAGTTGATTTTTGGTTAACGTTGTCTCATTTTCATTACCAGTCAATCTGAACCAGGGGAAATAAAAATTGCACTGATTTGAAAAAAATTAAAATACAAAAACTTTTAAACCATCTGTACACATAAGTAGAGGCAAATTGTCAAAATGCTACTCAGGGTTAACTAAGGATTACCAACTTTTACTGCCAGCTTCATGCTATAGACACCATGATATTGCATAAAACTATAGCAGCTGACTAAGCAGGCTGGTTCAATAGACAGCCTTATACTCTACAAAAGCAGGTGTATTAGTGCTGTAAGTACATGTAGTGCTTGGTATAACATGGCTCACCCAGCACTTCCTCCATGTTTAAAACTGTACTTCCCTAAAGGTCTGTCAAGGTCATCATGAACAAGAATAACATCAGATGGGTTCACTTTATACATTGTGACTGAATAAGAAAGGAACAGTAACATGAATTACAGTTTGTTGCTGCTTGTTAAAATGTTATCAAGTTTGTGGTATCACTATTCAAGTAAATTCATCAGGTTTACAATTTGAGCTGACTAATTGTCCACATATTGCAGTTCTTTCATGAGGATTACTGTGAAAAGGGGAAAGTAAAGTGATGTATTTGCATTCAACTTCTGTCATTCCATCAGCATGACCTGTGTGTGGGCCAAACTCTTCGCACATTTTCAAAAACTCATCTTGGCATAGTATAGTTTTCTCCTTTTCTCACTTATCTCATAGAAGAGGTTTCACCCCTTGACCCAAAGAGTGATTAGGGGTGATATTGCAGGAAAAAACTTGATGCTGATGCACACATTTAAGTTACCAGAATAAATGAAAATGATTATCAACTAAAGAAGCCTTTGGTTGTTAAACGAATTCTCCTAATCAGTACTTTTGGAAATGTATGGAGAACTGTGCAGAGAATATGCATAGTGACGCTCACGTGTAGAGGTTTACACTTATACATGATTTCTAGTTTATCCCAACACCGGTACCAATGTTCAAAATACCACAAAATTTGTGTCATAAGTTAGAGAATAATCTAACAGCCAGGGTACCTACTTTTGAAATGCTCCTTCCATTCAAGTTCAAAGCAACAGAGGGTTTCAATAGTATAAGTTCTTGGTGACCAACTTTTGTCACTGCTACGTAACCCAAAGATTGCCTGTTGAAATGCCCATAAGTTCCCAGATACTTGGCAAGGGTGTCAACTACAAGCATTCCGACACTATAGCGGGTTTCAGGATGGGAGAGATTACCCAAACCAACAACCTGTGCAAAAACAAAAAAACAATTCACCATACATCAACGTTCAGCGTGACTCGCCATTGCCTGGAAATTAAACCCAATCAAGTAGTCATTTATTGAGAAGAGAAAGCTGAATAACAACACAAGTATATACAGTGTGTAAACATTTACTGTCAAGAAAAGTAACCTTGCTTCACTGTGTACAAACAATGGCAATCAGAAAAATATAATCCAGCACTAGAAATAAAAAAGATCACTGACTGGGTTCAAACAGCTCAGTAATTTAAAATAGCTGAAGACGCATCTAGTTTCTTAAAAAAACTTGAAACCTGATGCGGGGTTGGCAACATTGATAAACCACATCGACTGACCATCGAACGTAACTTTCTATCATCTGACGTTTGAGCTTGACTTGCGCATCGTTGACTAATGACTTCCACGACTTTGATCTGTTGTGATGATCTAGTACATTAAATGGGGGCAGGCGGAATGTACCTCTCCTCCACACCGCCATGTCCACCAGACCACTCCACCATATCCGATGAGACACAAGCCCGCACTCATTCATACCAGCGGATGTCAGTGAGTTTCAAAACGTGCTCGGTGTATGAACACATAGGTTGCAAAGTTGCATCGCTTTTTCAGACAAGTGTCGTGGAATAATTTGATAGGAAGACGTTTTAGTTTCAGAACTTCCTTAATTACAGTTTCATCTACGAGAACTTATTGCTTATGGCGTAGCTTTTGCAGTAAAGCGACGAATAGCGGTTGTAAACCGCTGGGGTTGATTACTCAGAGTGATAAGTTTCATCTGGTATTCACGTGCAACGTGTGTGAAACACGATCACAGAAGCTCGTCAGTAAACAGGCCTATTCTAAAGGAGTAGTTATTGTCAAATGTCCTGGATGTAACAAAAATCATCTTATAGCCGACAACTTGGGGTGGTTCTATGACGATAACAGGTAAATTTGCTTTACTGCTTTGAGCTCGATAGAGCCCGAGGTAGAGAACTAAACGCTTTGACATAAACAGTGCATTCTTAGGTGAAAATCCTAATTCCCCCAAGATGCATTTCCGCAATTTCACATTTAATCCAACTTAGTAGGGGGTTAATTTTTACGACTTTCGATTAATTTTTTCAGGAAAAACGGTTTAAGGAGTACAGCTGTGGAAACGTTTAAGTGATTCCAGGCCCCGGGACGGAGAACTTGGTTTACGCTATGCTGGGTATGTGCTACTGTTCCTTAAGAACCCCTTCCCCATTATATTATATTCTTTGGCCAGTCACAGAACCTCTTGACTGTAATCCTCCAATTTTTTAATCTCTACTAACTGGAATTTTCTTATCCCTAAAATGTTCAACCTGTGGTAATCAATCCAGTCATGAAAATGTGACCCCGTCCTTTGGCACATTTTTATTAGCTTATTAGTAGAAAGTAAAAGTAACGCTGCCCCCCACCTCCCACTGGTTCCACACTGCCCATACACACTGTGTACTGCCTCTGTTTTGTTGGTATCCAATCATTTTGCCAAAAAGGACAGTGTGTCTGTTATGGATGAGACAATTCCTCCAAAGTCAGAATATGTTAATCCTCAGTGATCATGCACAGCGTATTCGAAACGGCATACACTGTACATGTTCATACCATGTGAGCTGATCGTAAATCAACTTTTTCTTATTCAGAAACCACCTTCACATTGCCTCAGTGTTTTGTACACATAGAAAGTTAGTTTAAGTTTTATTTCAGTCATTAACTTCCTTCTGAAAGTAATAGGGAAAATCCCCATATGAGTGAGTTCATATAATGCCTACCCACATATGTAAGATACATGTGCAATCACAGCTGAAGTCAAGCTTGAATGGCACATGTTATTAAATCATTACTTTAAGCCTTTTGAATGATATTTTACAGAAATATTGAAGATATCTTGGCTGAAAAGGGTGAATCAGTCAAAAGGTTGAGAATGATTCCTTAGAGTATCTTGTAAAAGACTTGGCAAACAGAATTGAAAAGGGAGAACCAAGTAAAGATGAGGATTAATTAAATTTTTTTTGAGAGTTAAAAACATGCCCCACCACCTCACACAGAGGTTATGTCCCTCTGAGATGGCGACATGATCCACAGCCAGAACTTTGTGTTTTATTGGAAGATGACTCAGATTTTGGGACCAAGCAATAAGGAAGATGAGTTTTGAATACACGAGGCCCAGGGAAGCTGGTAAACATTTTCTTGGTTGACTCAGCGTCTGTTACAGTATAAGGATAAGATTTAATGCCCAAAATAATCCCTTCTGCAAAAGGCATTCGTTCATCCAATCGACACTCGTCTTTTTACATTCATGAAGAATCTGTCACACAATTTCCTCAGTCCAAGTGGAGCCTGCGAAAAATGACAATAGAAACCTGCTTTGTTTCAGAAAAGGTTACAATTCTACCGTTTGCAAGGAGAAGTGTGGATCGCGGCAGAGACGTTATTTCAATCTTTATTAAACGAATGAAGCATTGCACAAAAATAAATCATTGCTACTGATGAGAAGCTAATAATTAGCAGAGTTTATTTTCCGCACCTTGGAGAGTCAGTGCTTAATCGTTTGTGGGGAATCATTCAACTTCATTTAAAAGTATCATACAAAAGCTCTGTAAACAACTGATAACTTACAGCGAGCTCAACCTACGCCATGCCAGAAGGTTGGCCTGCGCAATGGCCATGTACTCCTCTCGTTAAAATTGTTCTGGTTGTTACTTTCAGTCATTTTTAGTGTTGCTTGTGTCGTAGTCGTTCTTGTTACTCTGCAATCTTGTAAAAAGAAACTGTCTTATGGACGTAAGGGATAAAACTAAATGGCGAACGAGAAACAAAACTTTGGGAAATGGGGTCAAGCCAACCACGATCTAGGTATTTTCTCACGGCTTGTTCCATCACAAATCAAACTGGAATTCCTTTCACTAAACCCAAACGTTTCGCAATGTCATTATCGTGCCCTTCGTTGTTACTATCGTTGCCGTATGCATGTGCTAGGACTTCTCTGAGTAGCCATAATGACTAAGAGGAACCAAATAAGTACAAACCTTTAATATAATTATGTCCCCTGCCCAGTTGAATGAAGACATCAAAACAAATTATGTATTGATTTATAATGAGTTTCACATTTTAGAGAAAAGACCCCTGTCACAATTTTGGAAGAACATCCAGGCCTATTAGCAATCAACACCACAATCTTGACTTGAGGAATGTCCGGCTTTAACTCTTTCAAAATAAAAAGACACTTTCGCTTAAAAGATCCACTTCTCGATTCCCTAACTTAAATCCCTAGGAACATCTATTGACGAACGAATATTCACATGTTCAGGACTCCAATTGTCATCGAATGACAGTACGCAGCTGTCACCATTGAATTCGAGTTTCTAAGTAGGTTTCATGTGTTTCGATTTTTTCAACCCTTAAACCTTAATACCCAGTTATGCTATGATTTTTCAAACCAAAGATCATTCTGATAATCAAACAACTTGTTCCATCAATCATAGAGCATTCCACCTTGAATAATCTTTGTGATGTATCGTTGAGGATTGCTGTTTTATTCTGGTTTATTCCGAGATGTGAAATCGTAATGTCCACGGGTCGTCATTATGAAGAGGAAATAAATTTCTGTAAGGTTGCATGTCCTAGTATCACGCGTTACCGACGAACCGTTTAGGTAATTGCAGGGAAAATTCAATATCTTAAATGCATTTATGGTCTACAAATTACTTTTGCATAAAATATCACAAAACTTTCGAATAAACGAAAAATAGGCCATATACAAGGCAAATTGTATTTTACATTCAACGTTCTAATAATAATGTTAGTGACAAGTTTGCTTAGAAGACGGTAAAGTCTATTTAAAGACCCAGAATGAATGTAACAATAACAAAAAACCCCTCGTCTGGAAAACATCAAGGGCACCTCAGCACTGCGCTCAATATGTTAAGGGAGAAAAAGGCTACACTATCACTTTGTACACCTTACAGGATGAGTGTTGCGGAAAGACAAAATTGGCATAGCAAGCAAGAACTTTGTGTATATGCAATTTTAGCTCATTTAGGTGTTCGGATTGTAAGCCATTCAGGAAAAATATAAAAATTTTGATATTGTTTATCTTGTTTTTGTTTAACCAGATCTTAACTGGGAAGGTATGAAAATTTATTAAGGTAGGAAGTCATTCTTTCAAGGGTAAATATTTCGAAGGAAAATACTTAGTTTGCAAGATAAGCTGTATGTACTTAATGTGATTCGTTGGTCAAGTGTGACATGATGACGATGGTCAAAGATTGACAGCATGGTAATTGTCACCTTATAAGCTGATGACCAGAATTTTCCATTAGATCAGAGCTAGTTTTCAGTTGTAATAAGCTCTTAAGGAATGAAAAAAGTGGCTGACTTAAGTGCATTAGAGAAACCTGAATTTTCTTCTAACAGTATGAACATTTTTGTACCTTGAAAAAATAACCTACCTGGGCTGGTTACGGTTTCGAATTCGTCATCTTGAACAAGGTTAGAGTGAATTTAAGTGAATTGTCTCTGAGACGCAACAGCAAATATGTATTCGCATTCCTTTCACGCCAGTCTAGGTATGAACTTCAAGTGTCTCTTTTTATTATGATAGTGCTGATTTAGGATTAATTAAGATAACTCAGTGACATGTAAGTTCAGTTAAGCCGTTTACTCTGTCGTAAACTTCATCCTTAAACTTACAATCAAATTGCTAGCTTAAGTTATTCTTCAAGTTAAGATTAAGTCTTGTTCTCCGCGTTTGTTATTACGAAATGCTTTCTGTTTCATTACCGGGCTACTACAGTGACAGCAGTTCCCTTAATTTAGCTGCAGTCTCACCGTCTCCAACTTTTTCACTGAAAACCTTATCAAACAACTCATTTTGTTCTTCAGTGAAGTAATCTTTCCATCCTCCTACTTGACCCTTTCTAATAAAGCCATCCCCCTTGATTCCTTCAAACCAAGTAAAGTTGGTGTGACTGGAGCTCTTCATGGCGTCAAAGGACGTTTGTCGGACGATGAGGTCACGTGTTTCAGGAGAGATCTTTTTACCAATGAACTTTGCTATCTTGTCAACAGCAGCTGCTGGATTCTAAATGAGTAAAACGTCATAACTTTTAAGTGAAAACTTTGCAATAACTTTTGACACAAAAAATTAAAGAAACGCAAGGAAAAAGCTGCATGATGACAAACCGACTTTTTTCTGGCATTAACATCATTTAGGATTGTCACACCTTCAAGCTATTTTGAAATCTCGCAAAATTTTCCATCTTACAGTTTTCTACACTCTCATTATATTTTTGGTATCAACTTTGTACCACAACTATCCTTTTTAACGACTGACGAATTTACTTGACAAGCCATGCAGAAGGCTGATAATCGCCGTACCAAAGTTTAAAAACCTGACATGCAGAAGGTAAGAAAATCGTCGTATCGAAATGGAGGGTGCATAAAACAACTACTTAGGCTTCACGATCCTTAAATGGTTTGACATATTTTCTTACCTTTATTATGTCCTCGTATGTAAGGAAAAAAATGTTGGGATCGTTCCTTTGCTTCCACCAGCTTAACACGTGATCAAATAGCGAGCCATATGCATCTGCACGATAGAGGGTGACAAGGAAAAGCCATTTATTAGAACACACAAGTTTTTATCTATATTTTCGTCGTCCAAGTGTTCTTTAAGACGTTTTCAATCGCTAAACTTGATTTGTTTTGAGTTTTGTAAGATGATGGACGTGCAGTTGGGAGTGTATTGGGATTCTTCGACTCATTGTGTTTCTTTAACGACGTGGAAGCCTTTTCTAGTGGAAGATCAAAAGTTACCGGGATTTCATTGGACCATTTAAACTATACTCGGTGATCGGTCGTGATAATCCGCGGCAGGCTCTCAATCAGTCATCGAGGTTCAAGCCAATCGCCTTACTTGCGCAAGTATCCCTCACTTCGGGTCACTTTTTATAATTTATTACGAATTCTCACTAGCTCCTTTGAAATTTTATCGTTGTTTTGAAGATTTGTTGCCATTGCTTTGGTTCTGGTTTTGCGCCACTGAAAGGGAATGCACTCTGCATATCGCCAAACTTGGCATGGATGCCTTAAGACTGGTCAACCTTGGCAGTCGTAATGTGCCTTTCTATTCCATCTCCTTATCGTATTCTTACATGGGATTGGGCGAAGTCCATTCATACCATATGATGGTTATTGATTTGCATGAAAATCAACTCCCATTCATCGATGTTAGAAATATCATTTTTTTTTTCCGAGGAGGCGAATGAAGATGTACTGTGTTAGTAATGTGTTTATGCGACGTCTTTTGCTACAAACATTAAGCCAATTTCATGTTCAGCGAAAAAAGGGCTATACTTACGATCTCCTTTTAGAAAACTTTGGAAGGCCTCATCCCAGGTGGGAATTTCTACTACATACGGCATGTTGCGGCTGTGATGATACAGGGACACAAACACATCTTTGGGATTCCGCACTACATATATGTATCGAGGCTTGTTAGCTTCATCAGAGCCCTTAGGGACCAAGCAATAAGGAATATGAGTTTTGAATACACGAGGCTCAGAGAAGCTGGTAAACACTTTCTCGGCGGACTTGGCATCCATCACAGAGGAGTGATATGATTTGACGTCAAGAATAAACTCTTCTACAAAAGGCACTCGTTCATCCAATCGACGCCGGTCGATTTTACCATCTCGAAGAATCTGCCATACAATTTCCTGGGTCCAAGTGGAACCTGCAGTAAATGACAACAGAAACCTGCACGATTTCAAAGAATTTTCAATTCCGCCATTTTCAAGGAACCAGCACCTCCTACTTTCGGAACGAAAGTTGTTTACATCTTCGTTTCAATGAAGCGAGTGATTAGTATTAAAATTTCTTGTCTGAGATTCAGAGTCAGTGTTTAATCGTTTGTTTGGAAATTATTCAAGTAAATTCAAAAGTATCAATGAAAAAGTCTTCTGAACACAATAACTTACAGCAAGCTAAACCGACACAAGTAGGTCGGCTTGCTCAAATGATCTCAAAAGTTGGTTTATGTATGCCTGTCGTTACACTTGTTGTGGTTGTTGCTTTCATTTGTTCTTAATGTTGTTCTATCGTCCTTATGCTTTTTACCCTACTATCCTGTAAAAAAATCCTGTCTTTTGGGGATAAGGGACAAAACAAAATGGTGAACGAGAAAAAAAAAAACGGGGTCGAGTCGACCGTGATCTAGGGATCTTCTCTCGGCTTACTCTATGCTCACCGGAACACTTTCCGTTCACAATGATCACTTCCTATTCTTATCTCAACTCAAACGAAGCGTTTTTACAATGTCATTCTCGTGCTCTTTGTTCTTGTTGTTGTTATTGTCGTCATGTCTTGCTGCCTTTACAAACCCACTGTATTTACAGTGAGGACAACGAACCTAGTGAATACCGATCATTAGCAAAATTACTTTCCCCGCTCAGTTTGCTGAAGACATCAGAACAAATCCTGTATTGCATTACACTGATTTTCACTTTTTAAGAGAAAAGAACCCTGTCAGTGATACGAACCTGATCTTGGATATGATGCAATAAAGATATCCTCCTTCCGGGCCGGCAATTTAGGAAGAACGTTCATCATTTCTTTTGTTACACCCTTTTCCGGCCAGGCTTTCAAGCTCAGCAGTTCTGTCCAATCGCCCATGCCTCTTTGAGATGATTCTCAAGAGATTGAGATTACACAAGGTCAGAAACACTCTTAAAATTAACTTGAGAAATTTTACAACGTAGGCGATAACTTATATATACACAAGTTTCAGAAACTATCAAAGTTAACTAAGCATAAAAGGTAAGACATACGCAAGATAATGTAAAAATATTCTTAGAATCAAGATCACTCATTTTTAATGTCAACGGTGAAATTCAATAAAAGCCAAGCATGACGTTCGTTGATGTCTTTCACTTTCTTCCCGCGTGTGGTATGGATAATTTCAATGGTAACCGTTATCATTAAAGTGCAGTGGAACCACAACCTGGAGAGAATCGATTTGATGTGATGCTTGAGCAAAGTGCAACCTCTGAGTGGAATTTTTGACGGTACGGCCCAGGCGAAAAACTGCGCCATTCTGCAGAATTGTACCTGTATTCAAAGCAGAATCCTTTCATGGAAATTCATGAACCTTTAAATACCTACGCAGCTGCCGGAATATTTAGTCAACGATAAACTGTGTCACACTATCCAACATGGCGGTGCGTATAAAATTTCGACCTTTTTCACACTTAATGCTTAAGTTAATTTAAGTTAACAATGAATGAGTTGCCAGTAATCGGATCCTTGTTTTTGTTCAAAGATTTTCGGGATCGCCACGGGGCAAACATTACGCGAGTTGTTGGAAGGAAATATCTGATGACGAAATGTTGTTTGTTTTGACGTCCAAAAAAACGATTGTGGAGAGAGATCAACGCTTTTCGCCGTAGTTTTATCATGAAAGGATTAAGATAATGTTAATACGAAGGAAGAATAAGTTTTATTAACATTACCACGAAATATGTTGTAAAATATACCTTCTCAAAAGAGAGAAGTCGTCGCCAGCGGAGATGGAAATTGTCTCTACAGAGTTATTGCTCTTTGGAAGGATAAAATAAGCGATGAAAAATAAAAGGAAATCCTAAGGTCAAGCGATGATTTGACGAGAAGAATCCAAAGGTTTTTGAGCAGCCAGCTATCTCCCCGAAGTCCTGGAAGGATCTTGTCAGGAAAGGTAAGATCACGGGAATTCCGGCAGAAATATGGACGTACATATGCATATATTCAGTTGTGCATCGCTCCTTAAGCGACCCATTTGTACCTACTCATCGTCGCATAAGAAAGGGTTCACTTTTGCGCCTATTATCAACGCTGATTCGTTTTCCTCGATCACAACAGAGAGGCAATGTATGAGTTCAATCACTTAATATATCACGATAATATTTAATGCTCAAGCACACAACTTTAAACTCCTGCTGCCTCGAGGTAGCTGTTGTAGCGTTTTTTGTTGCTGTTGTCGTTGTTGTTGTTTTACCAAGCCAATAAAAAAGCTAGGTGTAGACTTAACACAAGCAAATATAACTGAAAAATTTTTACTAAGTTATTTCTCGGCGATTTAAAACTAATATTTCTAAAGTTCGAGATCATTATGCGATGTCAGTTTCACTAAAGCCATGCGCATGGAGAAAAGTTAATCGCTAGATTTCAGTACATACGTCACGGTTGTTCAAAAAAAAAACTTTGCGCTACCCTTGTATCAATACTACCCACCCATTTCTGATAAAACAGCGGCAAAAAAGCGATGACCTCTCAACAAAATTATTTTTTTGGACGTCGAAACAACCTTTTGCCATATCTTTTTTTTCTAGCGAGTTGCAATGTTTGCCTAGCCTGCAGAGCAGGCGTAATTTTGGCGAGCGAGTGCTCAGCAATTCCACTGAGGAAAATTATGGCCGCCATCTTTGATTTTAATGGCAGCAGAAGGCTGGGAAGAGAAATAAATTTATACCAAGGGGGCGGTCGACGGTCCAAGATAAGGAGATGGGTGGGCGTGGGAGTGAGGAGTGAAGATTCGTCTTTTCGCCCTTTCCTCGACCCCTAACCCCGCCGTCTACTCTAACTGCAAATCAAACATGGCCAGTCGGATAAACGATCGCGAGCCTATAACGTCAGCTCGCACTAATAAGACACCTGCAATGCAGGCTAATGTTGGCTCTGTGGGGATTTCAGAAATCTTTACGCAAACACAAAGATCCGATGACCAGCAACTCGTTCATTAAAATGTCAACAGACGTGAGGATCCGCGCGGCTTGCGCGTTGGCAAGTGCTACGTAAATTTAGGACTCTTCCGCAGAATTTTCTTTTTGAAAATAACTACGCAATCATAACATGAATGACAATTTCACAATTGTAGAATGATTCAGCAACAAGAACGGCTTTTGAGGATTAGCCTACGTGTAACCGTATCCTCCTCCTTCTGTCTTTCTTGGGTTGTCAGTTCTATATCGGCTGATGTTATCTGAAGGCAGAACCTTTCCTTTTTTTTGCCCCTGGTTCTGTGCGTGTTTATCTCATGACAAACTGATTTGAATATGAATCTCGACAAATTAAATTTACTTGTCTTGATTGTACATGTATTTCCTTAGCAGATTTAATTTAATCTTATTTCCGACGATAAAAATCTTTCATGCACTCAAATCACGTGGCAGTCATAGGTTGACAGTATAAATTTCGTTTATTTTTAAGACCGCTCCATGTGCTTTCTATGTCGAATTTTCGCAAATGCGCGCAATTTGTCGGCCGAATATTCTAGAAGTTCGCCGAAACCACAACAACTTTTTATATTTCCATGCACTTCTATCCTATTTTGGCCAGTCTGAATAAGAAGGCCGTGGGGAAGAAATTGGAATTTTGCGCTGAGCCGAGATAAAAGTTGCATATTTTAGGTCATAGAGGTAGCGTCAAAGTACGTGTCAAATAAAAAAAAAAAGTACAAAAAAAGAAATGTATTTGAGATATCGATATCGAATTCTCTCTGTACTGAGCGACACAGATCCTTTTTGGAATATATATCGTATTAGAACATGCAACCTTTTATCAAGCTATCTCCTCTTCATAAAGATACGTCCCTAGAGGGTCACGACTTTTCAAATTGAACCACACTCAAAACAACTTGATGATCAATGCGAATATATATTGCAATATCGTTTCGATCCAAGGTCAGCGAATGGATGCAGTCCTTGAAAGTGTTTTCAGGAATTGTATATGATGGGAAGACTAGTAGACTTCCCGATTTGCATAGGCGAGACACGTCCATGTATGCTTTTGGAAAACTTCGCCACGCTAAATGTAGGCCGCATTTTGCTCACTGAATCGAAGAATAATAAATAGCTCTCACCTCGCTTAAGTTACTGGTTCAGAAAGGTTTCTTCCAATCTTGGATGGATCAACTGATTACTGACAACGAGAGCCTCTCCCAATTTACATCGACCGTACAGCGTAAGGCACCATGTGACAACTAGAAAGTAGTACCCAGACTCAACCGTTTTCTCGTAGTTTTTTTTGTCTAGAATTTCTGTACCGGAAATAAAGAGTACTTTTTATGCACATAATAACCAGGTTCGCTGAAAATTTTGATACAAATAAAGGGATTTACTTTTGGACATAACATATCACAAAATGTTAGAATGTGTCCTTGTGGTTTATTCATGCAGGTCTTTCAAGAGTCATCAACCCAATCAGTAAGACTCTTAAGCACAAGCGTCTAAAGCGCCGGCTTTTATTCCAAAAAGAGAAAAGTAATAAGGGGAGTAAAAAGACTGAAAGAAACCAAGTCCAAATGTCTTCTCCCAAGATGGTGTTACCCCGAAAGATATGGGAGAAAATTGTAACAAGATTTTCGCTCCGTGGTTTGGAATGAGGTGAATTTCTCCCTAAGCTGAGTCAATGTCGTTCGAAGGGTAAGTAACGTTGACCACGGATTGACTGCAAACAGAATTGTGTATGGCGTGACATTCACAGGTAGATAACTATGGCCATGAAATTATGCTAATCGCAATTTTAACAATCCGTGGCTTAGAGGTTCCAGTAAACGAGATTGTTGACTTACCGAAGTCAAGAGAATATCAGATGATATTCTCTTGCCGAAGTCCCAAAGGAAGAGGACTTAAATACAGTGAAAAAGCGCGCTCAAGATTGCGAACATAAAAACAGGGAAAAACCAAGTAATGCGCCACGTCGACAGCAATTAAATATTCCCTGTGTAATAAAACGGATGTCTCTTGTTGGCTTTTGTCACGCAAATTTTATTATTGATCTTGCCGTTACGTTCAACGCAATATCATTAATATCACGTTTAGCATTTATTTTTATTTCAACGTCAAACGAGTAAAGTAAATTTAGTCATCTGGGACTCGGTTACAACGTGAACGTCACCACCGATAAATATATATATTTCTTAAATTTTTTTTTTTGAGCTGACAAGGGTGTTTTCCCTTGTGAATGAAAATGATAGAAATATAGAAGATGAAGTTAGAGCGTGTTGTGGCATATTCTGGAAACGTATTTTTTTAGAGTTCTGTGGTATATATAGCAATGATATGTACGAGCACGTTTATTCTATGTACTATCATGCCTATAAGTGAGTTGTCAAAAATAACTGGTGACCGCCACGAACGACTGAAAACGAAACTTTTGAATACGTCAGACTTAGGCTGGGCCGTCATAATCTTCCCGTGGGTAAAATACCGAGAGAAAAACACCGTGATTTCATCGAGAATTCGCCGGAAAATATATTTAAGTCTGCCTCCGCAGACTTCAGCCGCTTTTCCCTCAATTCAAGCGAATGAAAAGCCATCTTTTATCATCTTTGGAAATGGATAGAGAGGAAAGAGACCTTATCAGCGAAAATATCACCCAACTTGTAGAGGATGTTATTCCAGTAGATATGTTGCCTTACCTACCTTGCCTGACAAAGAGTGATAAGGAGAAGATAAAGTGTGAAGAGACAAATCATGGTTCCATGAGAGCTGCACAAGAACTGATAGATAGACTGGTTCGAAGACGAAATTCCTTTCGCCAGTTTATCGAGGCTCTTTGTGAGACTGGATGCCGACATTTAGCGGAACAGCTATGTCCATTACAATTTCACGAAGGTAAGTTAAAATCAGAAATTTTTACATCTACATCACGAGTGCATAAAAATATGACGAGATTAATTAATGGCGAAATATGATTTACAAAGCAAAACTTATCCAGGATCCTACTTAAGTATATGTAGTTTTCAACTCGAAACAATCATTTAAGCCGCCTGAGTCGCGGCAATAAATCGACTCAAAATCCACATTACTTAGAAAGAAATGCATGACCGAAGCAACGTAGGGATTTTTTATTGAAAAAAAATCTAGCAGTTTCTGGTTCCTACATGCCGTCGTTTTTCGTAACAATTTCTGTTGCGCTGTACAAAGGTATAATTATATAGATGTACGCGTTCATGGCACCACCATTAGCGCAGTAAACCTAAACTGGCCGAAGTTATTACAACATGTGAGACATCCTTTTCATTTTAGACACCTTTTCACTGTTTTATCTCACACATCCCACTCTCCTAGTATCTAATGTTTCTAAACTTGTGTAATTGCGAATTGCTTTGTTTGGGATCTCATCTTCCCTTGCTGCGCAAAGCAGCCGTGTGAACTCACTTTCGTTTTCCCAATCACACAGGAAATGAACAAGAGAACGTCATAAGGGATGAACGAGATGACAGAACGCAAGGAAGGATCGTAGCAGATTTCAGCACTCAAGTAAGATATCACTCATGTAAAACTACATTTTATTGCTCATTTCTCGCCATCCTCCTTACTCCTCGTAATGATATATATTTATGCGAACCAGTGTTAAGACTGCTCTTGGGTAGCACTTTGGTTCGAAGAAAGGTCAAACCAAGAATTTGACTTTTGGCTCGATTCTGGAAAGTTTTTCTTGGGAGAGGGAAGGGGGGGAATAAGCGTGGATGATGATAGCGATAAAATACTGACGTTCTTCTCATCTTCATGCCAACAGATTGCACTTGATGACGTCAATCAAGCTTGACTGTGCAAAAAGGAAAAAACAATTCAACCGTAAGTTGTGTGCACAAAGGTCCACATAATAACATTTCTCTAGAAATTCCTAGGCTACCGTCATATCCTCGTCAAGGTTTATTAATCTGTTAGCCAAGGCTTGTTTTAAAACTGAACTTCCGTTTTCGGTTTCATACATAACCTTATTGTCTGATTTTCGTTATATATCTGCCATCTGGGCATAAAAAAAACTTATTTCAAGCCCTTTCTAATGATACGGAAATATTTAGAGTAAAATATTATAACCGTTGTATATATCATATTCATTTTCAGTAGCCGCAGTAGTGCTCTTCGGTGGGCTAGTGCTTTGCAAACAAAGTTCTGGGAAAATGTTTGGTCATGAAACTCTGTGTGGAACGCAGTGTTGATGCGCTCTATACCCATGTGCTTGCTTTTACGTGTTTAGTTGCAATTGTCAATTGGAATAAAGATATTTCGGATCAGCCATATGAGGAAACCGATCCATTCCAAGCACACCATTAGGACTGCACAACTAGTTCCAGTAACGTAAGAGTACGTGCCTTTGAACTTGTTACATGTCAACGACAAGAAGAAGATCTTGATATCATTGCTGTTAGTAACTTTTGATGCTTTTGTTGTTGTTTTCGAATCATCAAAGTCAATTGCCTGATTAGTTATGTGACATCGATTAAAAAATTCGTTTCTGAGTGACTCTGCTGCAACAGCAGCAATGGAAACTCTCATAAGAAAACTTTTGGTATTAACACAGTTTGGCAAATGTCTAAGTTAATTCTGATGGCATTTGCTAAACTCTTATTGACTATTCCTAGGTAAAGTATTTTGAAATTCCACAGAAAGTTTCCGTACAGATTATGTATGGTTTTTGAAATAAAATACATGGTTTTTGAAATAAAATACAACTGGTTTGAGCAGTTTTTAAGTCCAATGATAATTGTTCGTTAATAAAGAAGCTGTACATATAATAACGTCAATAAATTAGCACCTTTATTGACACTGTGTCTTAGTGTTCCATCATGTTATTTCAATATTAAAATTGCTACGAAATATCTGAACAGTCCCAGTTTGAACCGTGTGTAGACCAGACGAACTCATTTACGAGTGGATTGCAGTATGGACGAGTCTTAGCAGCTGAACTTAGTCTCATTAGAAATCTGAGCATATTCACAGATCCTACAAGAGGAACATGCGCGGCCCCTGTAATTTATCAAATGTTATCCGATGATATATGTTTTGCTGGTCGGCGGCATATTATTTGTCGTTTTCTTGTTCTCAAACGCTCGTAGTCCTTCACGAAACTGCAACGCTAACCGAAAAAGGGTCTGAGCTATTTTCTCAATACTTTTTTATGACTGGAAGCCATAAAGAAGGTCATAACGTAAAAGTCACACTTCATTATATATTATGGCACAGCCAGAGGGTTATTGGTTTCGTGTGATGATTCCCGATAGTTCTCGATTTCATAAACTATTTTATGAGAATTTTAAATAAAGAGACATCGAAACTGAAATACAAGATTTCTTGTTTACTTTTTACGACCACCCTTTTTTACTTTGAACTGAGAATGATAAACGATTCTCTAATTTACACTGATAAAACTTGTAATAGGATCGTCTTTTCAATGTCACAAAATCTCATATGCTTCAACTATTTGTGGTTCCAAATATCATGCTTGAAAAACCATGATTAGTTTTGGTTGGATGACCAATTAGCATTTAGAAAATCGCCCACCGTGAACTTACCCGCATTAGACATATAGAAGTAAATAACAAATATTCGACAAAGCCATTTCGAAAATAAATCGGAAGTAGCGTCAGAATTATAATTTTGCTTAATTGGCCACTACTCTGAAGATGGTGATATGTAGAGTTAGGTCAGAGGTTCTTGGCTACATCATGTGTAACTAAGCCCGATATGTTGTCAGAACTTCTGACTACAAGACTGTAGACTGCAAAAATTGATACTCTTGTCGACCTTTATCGGTAGGAATAGGAATATTTGAAGAGGAATATTCGACTGCAAACAAGAGATTTGCTTCTACTAATTCGGTGGAAATATCGAAAGGTAATTGCGTTCTGATTAGTCTCGGGAATGTTGCAAAGAGAAGAAAGACATAATATCAGACATAAACATAAACAACGATCACTCTGTGCATATCTATATTTATACTTTACCTCATAGAAAATATGACATGGTTGGTCCTACCCTTTTAAAGTGACAGCTACCTTAAATATCCACTTATACCGATTATTTCTGTGAAGGAATGGAAGAAATACAAGTCTTTAATGGTTTAGGAAAACTATCTACATATACATATGGAAACCGAAAGAGAAAATATTTTCAAAAGATCATGACATTGACCTAAAAATAGCTATTCTCGAAACCTATTTCCCATCTTAATTCCAGAGCAAGAGAAATATCGAAATACATCGAAAGGAGAAACGAAACTTTAATTTCTCTTCTCCTTTATTTTCTGGTATCAGTTTTGAAGAGAAAAATCCCAGAGTCAAATTTGTTCCTATTTGTACGAGTTGAGTAAATATTTTCCCACATGATGGGGTCAGGAATTAGCATATCGACGATGGGAAAAAGCCCGGTTATTAAAACTCTCGAAAATGATCATGTAATGTATTACTCAATAAATAATTCCTACGAAAAATAGAGTTATGTCCTTGAACTTTCACTATAAGTTTCACAAGTATGGCAGTTTTTTCGACATCGTTTCAATAGTATTTCGAGATGTAACAACATTCGAACAAAGCAGATCGAAATCGAAACCAAAACAGCTCGTATCGCGGTTTCCATAGACTGAAATTTTATATTAATGAAATTCAAACTGGGAAAATACCTTTTCCGGACGTTTCAAACTAAGTATATTCAGTGGCTACAACGGTAGATGCATTGGAAGAAAGAATCATGACATACCACATCCCTTGATTTTTTTAAGACCAAGGCTTTCGTAAAATAAGCTGAGGCAACTGTTGATAGGCTTTCCCCGCTCCGAAAGCCGTTTATTCATGCCCGAAAACAAAAACGAAAAGCGAAATTTGAGCTTTGATTACATAGCATTTTCCGAGAATTTTGCGCGTGACTTCCGGGAATTTCCTGTTTTCTGCGGGTTCATGAATTTATTATGCAGCGATGATATAAATACGATCGAACAGGGAGCCATTTGCTTAAGACGGAGATTCGCGCTTCATTTTACAGTTTTTCCACTGAGAAAAAACAATGAGACCACCGTACACGAAGTCTGACGAGAAAAAGATCTTGGATACACGGCTGAAAGACTTTATGGGAGAAGTCAATCCAGTTGATTTGCTTCCATATTTGCCTTGTTTAGAGCAGATGGATAAAGAGGCCATTGAGGCTAAACAGAACAATCTGGGACCAACAACGGCGAATCAAATTCTTGTAGATCGGCTCAAAAGACGAAACAAAGGTTTTGTGCAGTTTGTAAGAGCCCTGAGGACATCTGGAAACGAACACACTGCCTTGTTAGTTGATCCTTACTACATTTATCCAAGTAAGCCAGTTCTTTGTTTAGTATTACTTTGATGTTATTCGAATTCGCAATTGTATGACTACATTTTGTTCTCCTGGAGACTTTTTGGCTTTAAACTCATTTTGCGAAGTAGAATTATAAGCTTTCAATTCGAAAGTTCCTGTGAGTTTGGATGACTCTGCCGTTAAAACGGAATGAAACTGTCAATTATTTCTCAGACTGTGACAGATTATCTCACCATTTCATCGCATCACAATTGCCTTTGTTTAGCCCTTTCATGTCTTTGGAAGTCCGTGATTCCTCCTTAAGTCTGATTTATGAAACTCAATACCAATGTGCCTCTATATGTTTACATCGCCATGTCCGCCATTATAAGGGCTAAAACAATTTGCTAATTAAGCGTTCTGACACCATTGTTCGTTCAGCTGCAAAAGATGAATGGACACTGGACTGGACTCTGGACTTGACCCCGAACTGGACTCTCTTGACTCTGCACTGGATTCTGAGTTCCTCTCTGGCCTGGACCCTAGCCTTTTTTATTTAAATTGGTACAAATAGATGCATTAATATTATAATTTTAAAGATAAGTCTAATCCAAAGTCCAGTCTAGAGTTTATTCCAGCTGGCCAGGCTCGTGTTTAGTAGTTTGCAGATGTTAAAATTGGATTAATCGACCATCAAACACTATTTATGTCATTTTCTCGTGGCTTTACGAAGTGAACAGCGAACGGATAAAATCCGAGTCCGATATAAAAATTTTTACCTTCATTCTCTTGTTTTTATTGTTTCCTGCTTCACTTCAGAGGGTTTTGATGCAATTATGTCATATTTTGTGGGGTCTTGAAGGAGGCTGATTCCACTTGGTTTGACGTGAATGAAAGTGATCCTCGCAGTAATGTGCACTACTTAGGCTGCACCGGTATCGCAGAGGTCATGGGTTCAAATCCCGTACAGGCCTGAATTTTTTCAGGCCTTATTTTCACTACTGCCTAAGTAATGCACATTACTGCGAGGATCACTTTCATTCGCGTCTTTATCCGCAGTTCAAATATATGACTTTCATGTATTCTTAACCGTTTATTTCATCACTTCACGGGTTTATTTAGAACCAACATCATAACCAGCTCCCAGTTGGCTTGTTAGCTCAGTTGGTAGAGCACTGCACCGGTATCGCAGAGGTCATGTGTTCAAATCCCGTACAGGCCTGAATTTTTTCAGACCTTATTTTCACTACTGCCTAAGTAGTGCACATTACTGCGAGGATCACTTTCATTCACGTCTTTATCCGCAGTTCAAATATATGACTTTCATGTATTCTTAACCGTTTAATATGAAATTGATTGATTATCATCTGAACGCAGTTGACGCAGGGGACGATGAAATCGCTGTGCCGAATGGCTCGGAGATCGGTTATAAAAGGATTGGAACAGCAATTGGTAAGCTATTTCAGTATGTAATAATTTTTGCATTAATTGATAAAAGGAGACAGAGGGATGTGATCATTTGTAAATAGGGCAGGGCGAGAATAATTCTTTGAGGAAGGTGGCATAAGTCAACGTGGAACTCCACCCCCGCCCCTTCCCACCTTAGAAGGCCCTTGCACTGCAATGTTATGTCACTAACCTAGACAAACTAATTGCACACAGCATATTATAATTTATTTATTTCAAAATAGGAAATAAATCATTTTTTTCCATAATACTTTGTTACGGAAATACGGACCGGGGATTCTTTTTCTCGACAAAAGACGCTTTTGTATAAGTTGGTCTTTGCAATTACATCGTTGTGTCATACTAACTTAGGGCTGAATAAAAACTTGCTTTTTTCGGTCCTTAAATGCTCGTCTTGTCGGTTTTTTTTCCAGATGTTATTATTAAAGGTAACCTATCAGCAGAGACAAGTGGGGATGAGGAAGAGCCTGAAAGCTGTTATGCAGAGGAAAAGTATTTGGCTGAACTTTACGAACAACATTCATCCAAAGAAAGCAAACAAATGCGCAAGGAACTCCAGAAGGTATGTTAAAAAAATTTAATTGTAAGTCCATGGAAGCGCAGATCTAACACTAGAAATGGTGTACAATGAAACCTGTTTTAAGTGAAAGGCGCAACACCTTATGTCTCAGATATTTTTTTTTCTGAAGTTTGCAATTAAATCAAACCTCTGAGAAAAATTCACACTTATTGTTTCGAATTTTTAACTTAGCTTCCTAACTTGAGGAAACATCATATCCATCAGTCAAAACGAAATTGTGGAATCTCACTGACTGACGCGAGTGAACAAATAAATCAGCACTTCAGTCTTTAAGCCTAAATCTTACTTTCAACTTGTGGGTAAACATCATAATTACGTATCAGTTGGAGACCAAGATACGCTTTCTTCTCCAAACTTAATCTGATACCCTCAAGTATGCTCAATTTTAATGGCTGTGTATTTCTTTCAGTATCTTCCCCAAGGAGCTGTTTTTGTTCATACTGCTAAAGGTTCCATCATAACCACTATCCGCTTGTCAACAAAAGAAGCAGCCGTAAAGCTGTGGGATATGTATACTGAAGGAGAATTCCAAAAATCGTTACAACATGTCTTAGTGGACGACACTTTTAAGAAACATCAAATGATCCCAGAGAAACCGCTGAAACTGAACCTCAGTATAAGCCAAGAGCGTTTTGTACAAATTCAGGAAAAACTAGCCGGTAACTAATAAACAACACCATAGAACTTTTCATTATTCTTGCTGCTGAGTTTTTTTCATCTTGTGAACATAGAATACTAACGGGACACTTCGACGTTTAATTAACTTCAGGAAAGATGATCACGAGTTTCGCTGTGTTAAATACACCTAGTTGGGAAAATACTATTATGGTCGTTTTTATGGTTGTCACATAAGTACAAGGCCCCGGTCATCCCTCCAGTGTTAGGTTTCTGCTGTTAATTGCCATCCTCTCTCACAGGAATGGTGCGGTGCTCGTTGCCGAAATGAGCTGTTCGTCCTTCAGAGGAACAGCACCCAAACGGTTAACGAAACCTGTAAAAAAGCTTTCGAGTTAGTTGTCTTAAAGTTCCGAATGAGTTGGTATATTGAAGCAACTTATGCTTGTTTTCTGGTAGAGATCGAAGAAGAGCAAGAGAGAGAGGAGAAAATGCGTAGCACCTTGTCAAGCAAGCAAGGTACACTTCAAATTCGTTACATGATGATCATTACTTTAATGGAATTGGATCATTGGATGTTGATAAGTTCATTCAATCATGAAGACTTACGGTGTTAATGATAGTCAATTACATGCACGTTTGATTGAAACGACCATGCGGTAAATATGATGGAATAACTGTGATAAATCTTGTAGAAGGTACTATGAAAAATTATATAGATGCCAGATATTAATTTAAAAATGAAAAGTCGATAATTGCTATTTGATGCATATCACACGAAAACGTAAACATTTACCTATGTTTATTTATTTTTAGAGGACAGTGCTACTGATGATGATGGATCTATACCTGAGGTTGAAGAAGAAATCGACATTCCACCCGGTAAGATTGCATTCTTACTCTGAAATTCATCTGATTTAAAAACCGGAGCGTATTGCGCCTCGAAACTTAATCTTCAATTCAAGATTCAGATGCCAATTTGATCTTAGTGATGCTGTAATATGATCTATTTATCCATTTCTAAAAGTGTATCTGGGAAACAAGGCCAATCCCTTTAGCGTATGTGAGCTGGAGCTTAGAGAGTACCAGAAGGAATTGGCAGATCCAGCGCTGGAAGGCAAGAACACCATTATCTGTGCTCCAACCAACAGTGGAAAAACATACGTGGCTATAGAAATAGCTAAAAACCATCTTAAGTCATTCAAAGCAAAGGGTAAGTTGCCTTCTTATATCATATCTCATAGTCGTTATGTCAGTCCATCACCCTGGTAGATAACACAGTTGATCATGAAAAGACTATAAAACAGTTAATTGTCTCTTTATAAGCGGATTCAATTTATAGAATTCTGAGGGCGTTTAAAGAGCTTTGCTTTATATTCTTTTCCCACACATTTAGAGACACACGAATTCACGCATAACGCATATGAGAAAAACGATTCCTTCACGAGAATATTCAAGGTTGAACTTTGTTCTCTTTGCAAGTGAAGTGTTACTCTAGTTGTATTGTCAACGATAGCTTTCGCATTACATATTGGGTGAAGTCATTCCGTTTCCCCCTTATGCCGATCCAATAATGAGTTATCTGCAGCAATCAGTAATTGGTCGGATTTCAACCAGATACCAACTCGAATTTTTTTAATTGGACAGTGTCCCAGGAACTAACACTCTGGCCCACTGATTGAAGATCAGGCCATTAGGTTTTGTTCTTGAGCGAGACATCTACTCCTCTCCTTAGCATCACAACTCTAAGTCGCCTCATCATTTTTACTCTTTTTACTCCTTAGCACCTACAGACAGCAGCCTTAGCAAAAAACCAAAGGTTGTCTTCATTGTGAGCACTGTGAACCTTGTTTCTCAGCAAAAGGAGCGGTTTGAACTCTACCTGAGAGACAAGTATTCCGTGGTTGATATTTCTGGGGCAAACGCAACCGAGATCCCCCTTAAGTATCTTCTACAAAACCATGACATCATTGTTTTGACTGCCCAAATACTTGTCAACGCTCTTACTTGTAAATCTAAGGAGGAGCAAGTAAATTTGGAAGATATCAGTCTTTTGCTATTTGACGAGTGCCACCATGCACATAAGGAGCATTCCTACAACCGAATCATGGAAAGGTATCTTGCCTTGAAAAAGCAGCCTCGAAACCAAGGATCGCTGCCACAGGTAACTGACACTTCATATTGTTTTTCGTGGCGTTTCTGAAAGCATAGAGGCAAGTCTGCACTGAGACGAAGAGTCATTAGGCCCAAGTGAGCAACGAATTTTTCCTTCTCCTTTTTTCGATTTGAACAGAAAAAAAAAGAGAGAAAATTTAAGGTACTACCCGCCTTTCAAAAACCGTATTCCAAATGTTTTGATCGTAGGGAATGGATAGGGTTCATTCCATTTTATTATCATAAAACTAAACTGACAATACGTAATCATTTAGCAAGTCGCACCAAAATCTAATGATGCAAGGACCCAATTTGAGCTAAAAAAAAAAACACAAGTTCACGACTAGATTGCGATTATCGTTAGGTTTACATCAAATTGGTGGCAACACGTACATGTGTTTTTGAGTCCTGATTACTTCCGAGTTCCAAAATTCAATGATTTTTTTTTGACGCTGAGTAATCCAATCTCCTTTATTTTGATTTTTAGGTTGTTGGTTTTACTGCATCGCTTGGTACAGGAAAAGCTAAAAGTGTCGAGAAAGCAGAAGAACACATCCTTCTTGTTTCTGCCAACTTAGATGCAGAAGTTATTTCAACTGTGAAAAAAAATCAGTCCGAGCTCAAAAAGTTCGCAAACGTTCCTGAACGAAATGTATATCAACTTTCAACGACTGGAAATGATCCATTTGAAAAGATAATTTCACAGGTAATGAGTAGATGGGTTGTTATTTAGAAACAAGAATGTATGAGGAGAGCTCACCTCATCCTCCTTCATGTTTTTTAGGTTATGAAGAACATCGAAGCTAAAGTGAGAGGTAGAAGAGGAGAAGAATCAACTTCTGTTCCCCCGGATGACAGTAAGTCATGTCAGCAGTATCGCCAATGGGTGGAAGAGCTCTCCAAAAATGCTGTTGCAGATGCGGACCGTTACCTTATAACATTTGCAGAACATCTCCGCGAGTATCACATCGCCTTGACAATCAACAAAAGTACAACTATGAAAAATGCTAAGAAACGCCTTGAGAAGTATTTTGAATCCTTGGATAGGGAAAAATTCCTACCTATTGACAAAAGTTTGGAACGTCTGTTTCAGTGCGCAATGGAGATTTTGGATAAGAATGTAGCAGAGCACGGTGAGCCCGAGAATCCATTCTTAATGAAACTGAAAGAATTGCTCCTTCAACACTACAAAGGTGATCCTGGGATAACTGAGGAAAGCGACCAGGAACGACCAAGCGAAGAGGATGACAATTTTGCAGAACATACGCCAGACAATAAAACTTCTGATAAAAGCAGTGGTGAACATAAAGACTGGATAGGGCCTAAAGGTATTCTGTTCACAAGAACACGAGAATCAACGTCAGCCCTAGAGGACTGGATTAAAGAGGATGAACAACTGAGGGCTGTTCTAAGGCCAGAGGCTCTTGTAGGCAGTGGAGATGGCAACAGTAAGTTTAATCGCTGATAAATTTTTTAAAGTTCAAATTCTAATATGGTACCATTACATACTGCAAAAGGAAAAACAACCATAGCGGTTATTCTATAATAGTCTTTCCAACATCTTTAAGACATGCCTTTTTTTTCTCTGGAAATCTCCATGATTGGCGTTTAATTTTGCTTCTTTGCATGATGAGTATTTAAATGAAAGAAGGATGAATATCTTGTTGGAGCAAGGAAAAATATTTGTACATGACAAGATGTTTTCCTTTCCTAAATCTTAGTTGGAATGACACAGAATGAGCAAGAGCGAGTAATCAGTCGATTCCACACCGGAGAGAAGAACCTTCTTCTAGCCACTAGTGTGGCAGAGGAAGGTTTGGACATAAGAGATTGTAATTTTGTCATCCGTTATGATATGATGGGCAACGAGATCTCCAGTGTGCAGTCACGTGGCCGTGTCAGGTAAAATTCATTTATCTATTTCTTGCATTCGTGCGCTTATTACGTCTATATAGATGCCGAAAGTTTTTACAGATCTGCGTTCACCCTGAAGTTAGCACACTAGACTAAGGATCAAGAAGCATTTGTTTGATTCTTGACCGATGTCACAGTATCTGTCCCACGACAAGACAGACTTACTCTCCACCAAGGGGTGTACAATTAATGGTACCATAACATTATCATTATCGTACCTGACATTGACTGGCACGCCACTGAAGCGGTTTGTTTGTTTTTTGTTTTTTTTTTTAAAGGATTTTACCGTGCTTTTAGTTCCCGTCGGTTCACAAGATTTATGCTGGTTTCGTCAGTTTCAGTTTCATATGCCTCTGGCGGTTTGTCTTCTTGGACATGAAATTAATTTTAGAGTTTTGTTTCTATTTAAAAGCAATACCTAGAAGAAACTGCTTTAAGTACATTTCATATTGTCTCAAAGAACTTTGGTCTAGCATGTTTATTTTCCATTAAATTGCATTCACAACTATTGTAACTTTACCTTCGTTCGTGAGTTCTCGAGGTCTCCTTCTATTTTATCAAAAGTTTTCTTTTTTCTTTATTTTTTTCCTCTTTTACTAGGGCAGACGAGGGTATGTATAGCGTGCTCGTGAGTGTGGATTCTGGAGCATTGAAAAGGGAAAACACAAACCGTTTTCGAGAAACCCTCATGGTTGAAGCCCTAAGCAAGGTTCAAAACATTTCCGAAAAAGACTTTCAGAGGAAAGTAAGTACCAGAAAAACATCAGGTTTGTATTCTAATAAAGCAAACTCCATTCAGAAATAGACGAAATAGGGTTCCCTTGGCTGGCTTTAGTGGGAGTAACAAATTGCAAAGGCTGCGAGAGTTTTTTCTTTAATTAATTTCAGCAAGAGCGAATGTCAGTTTCTTTGAGAAGAAGAGACAGAGTAGGGTTTCCCTTGAACAAAGAGCTTTCGGAAGAAAAAATGTGTGTCGACTGAATGGAATTATCTTAGGCTAGAAATAGTCGAGGTGGAGATTTCCATTGACAAGCCTCTCAGTTTTGAATCTAATTTTCTATTTGGCACCATTCTTAAATGATTTTTTCAATGTATTTTCGCATCTATGAAGGTAAAGGCTATACAGGATAAGAACTTTCGGGATCGCAAGCTGAAGAAGGGTGTAATGGCCTTGAAAAAGTCAAAGCCTGTACCCGATGATGTCAACTTCCATTGCCGGAAGTGCAATGAAGCGGTTTGTCAGGCACATGATATCAGACGCGTAAGAGAGACCTACTATGTGATCATCAACAGTGATGTACGGGAGTCCAAGGTAGACGCACTTTCTTTGACCGCAGTAAAACATATGTAGTCGTTATTTGCTTTGATTTTGTTTAGCTTCATTTCAAATAGTTTACATAAAAAGTTACAAGCTTCACGGTTTTGGTGACATAATTACATAAACTGCACATGGTCTATTAATGCTTGGACGCTAACAAGACTAAGAGGTGAAGAAAGAAAGTAGCATCGTCACAGATTTAGAGAGCGGTACTTCTCATTTTAGCAGTGTCATGGTCAGTATTTGTAGCCTCTCAGTCTAGTGCTAACTTCCTAAGTTGCCTTGAATAATGAAGTTGTGCAGCTCCCCTCTTTTATTCTTACTCTCGAAGTTACTGTGGGAAAAGCAGAATTGTTTAAAAAAAAAAACACTTCCTAAAAATTAATGAGCTTGCTTGATAACGAATCTCTCGCTCTTATATTTTCAGGTGGTCATGAAGATCTGTCCTAGTCCCAAGAAAATTGATGATGTCGAATTTAACAAGAAAATCTATTGCAAAAAGTGTGGTCAAGATTGGGGTGTGACCGTCCGTATCAATGATGTGGAGTGGTTGTGCATCAAGATTAGTAGCTTCGTTGTTCAGTTCCCGGAGCCAAATCCTCAGCGAATTATGAAAAAGAAGTGGAAAGATCTCCCTTTCGGCATTGAAGAGGCAACATTTGAAGAGCTCTGGCAACAGGCTGAACATGAGGATGAAGATTTCTTCGAAGATGATCTCAGCGATTTGCTTGATTGACTTGGTCGCATATGGCAGTGCAATGCTTCTTGTTAATATTGAGATGTCACTTAGTTATCACAAACTTTTTGAATTTGTTGTCTAGTTGATGCGATACGTTATATTAGAATAGGAAAGGAAAGCCCTGGATGTTAGTAATCTAATTTTGTCGTGGAAATATGAGGTGTGACCAGCACTCTTGTTTAACTTTTAAAGTAATCATCGCCTGAGGGGTTAGTCGTACGATCAATAAAAATTCTTATTGACATTGGTCCTAGTCAGTTTCATCAGTTCAACTAAGGAAAGTTCATTTCACACCCAAAATAAAAGCGAGGAGTTGATTTGGAGTCAATACACTATCATTTAGGATCTTAAAGTGAGAGAGTTTCCATTTCTATCCATTATGTCACTTAAAAAAAAATTTTATCGGCAATTACTAATGGTTCCTGCCAGATAATTAGTTCAGTGATGGAGACATGATGATACAACATTTGATATAACCATCTACCCAGTATAGAGCTGAGACCGATGGAGTTGAACCTCTCTTGCCTACAAGCTTGGTCTCGAGGACACAGACCTCAAAAAATATTTTGATGCTATAAATAGTTGGAAAGATGTCGCCCAACTTCCGATCTGAGAGAGAAAAATAGCGAAATCGGATCGTGCGTACCGAAGTGATTTATTTCCATCTTCGCTAGTTCTTAGTATAGTGAATAAGGAGTTTTGGCACACGGTATGGTAACTTAAGATGGTTTTTAGGGCCTACTGAGTCACTTCTAAATTTTTTATAATTATAATCTATAGCTAATGGGTCAATATTGAAACTGCTAAGAAATATCTTAACAGGCCTAGTTTGAACCGTGCAGACCAGATGAACTCATTCGCGAGTGATTTGCAAAAAAGAACGCGTCCTAGCCGCTGAACATAGTCCCATTAGGAATCTGAACAAATTCACAGGTGTTACAAGAGGAACTTCCGCGGCTATTGTAATCAATCAACTATTATCGATATATGTCTTGCTGGTCGGCGGCATATTATTTGTCGTGTTTTCGTTCTCAAACGCTCACAGTCCTTCACGAAACTATAACGCTAACCGGAAAGGGTCTGAGCTATTTCTCAATAGTATTTTACGACTGAAAGTCATAAAGAAGGTCATAACGCAAAAGGCACACTTCATTATTTATTATGGCATAGCCGGAGGTTTATTGGTTTCGTGTGATGATTTTCGATAGTTCTCGATTTCAAAAACTTTTTTATGAGAATTTCTTTCAGTTTCACATGTCATGGGTCGACTAACATGTTTTAAACGAAAATACATCGAGACCGAAATAAAAGATTTCTTGTTTACTTTTTACGACAACCCTTTGTTCTTTGAACTAAGAAAGATAAACGATTTTCGATTAACACTTGTAATGGGATGCCTTTTTAATGTCACAAAATCTCGTACGCCTCAACTATTTTTGGTTCCAAATATCATGCTTGAATAGCCGTGATTGGTTTTGGTTAGACGGGCAATCAGCATTTAAAAAAGCCACCCACCGTGAACTTACCCGCATTAGAGAGAGAATTAAATGACAAATATTCGAGAAAGCTATTTCGAAAATAAATCGGAAGAGGCGCCAGAAATATAGTTTGCTTAATTGGCCACTACTCTGAAGATGGTGATATGTTGAGTTAGGTCAGAGGTTCTTGGCGACATCATGTGTAGCTAAGCCCGATATGTTGACAGAACTCCTGACTACAAGATTGAAATTGATACTCCTGTCGACCATTATCAGTAGAGTAGGAATATTTACATCGACTGTGAATACGAGATTTGCTTCTACTTTTTGGTCGAAGTGTCGATAGGTAATTACGTTCTAATTAGTTTCGAGAAAGTTGTTCTTATCGAGAAGCAAAGAGAAGAAATGCGTAATATCAGACATGTAAACAATGATCGCTCTGTGCAATATCTATACTGATTTATATTTTCCCTTCTAGAAAATTACCGGTACGTGGTTGGTCCTAACCTTTTTAAAATGATATTCACCTTAAATATCCCGCACTTATACCGATGAATTCTGTGAAGGAATGGACGAAATACAAGTCACTAATGGTTAAGGAAAACTATCTACATACGCATATGGAAACCGAATGAGAAAATATTTAAATTTTCAAAAGATCATGACACTGACCTAATGTTTATCAAGTAACAATAGCTATTCTCGAAACCTATTTTCCCATCTTGCTTCCAAAGCAAGAGAAATATCGAAATACATCGAAAGGGAAAACGAAACTTTAATCTTCCCCTTCATTTCCTAGTACCAGTTTTGAAGAGAAAAATTCCCAGAATTAAATTTGTCCCTGTTTGTAAGAATTGATAAATGTTGTCCCACATGATGCAGTCGAAAATTAGCATATTGACGATGGGAAAAAGCCCTGTTATTAAAACTCTCGAAAATGAGCATGTGATGTATTACTCAATGAGTAGTTTTTGCGAGAAATAGAGTTATTTCTTCGAACCTTTACCATTAGTTTCACAAGTGTAGCAGTTTTTTTCGACATCGTTTCAATAGTATTTCGAGATGTAACAACGTTCGTACAAAACAGATCAAAATCGAAACCAAAACAGCTCGTATCGCGGTTTCCATAGACTGAAATTTGATATTAATGAAATTCAACCAGGGAAAGTACCTTCTCCGGGTGTTTCGTCAAACGAAGACTGCTCAGTGGCAACAATGTAGATGACCTCGCAAGAAGCATGACCAACTCTAGCCCTTTTCTTCCATGGACCAAGACGTTTGTAAAATGAATTCGAAAGGAAGCATTTGATAAGCTTTCGCTTCTCAGATAACGCTCTATGTATTCTCGAAAACAAAAGGGAAAAGCAAAACTTGGTACTTTGTTTACGTAGCGTTTTTCGAGAATTTCGCGTATGGCTTCTGGGAATTTCCCAGTTTTTTTGACGGGTTCATGAATTTATTATGCAGAGACATATAAATAGCGAGCCCGTTGAGCAAGGAGTCATTCGCTTTCGACGGAGTTTCGAGTCAAATTTTATGAACTTCTGGGATCTGAAACAACAATGAGACCCTACGAAAAAAAGATTCTAGAGGAACGTCTGAAAGATTTTATGGAAGAAGTCATTCCAGGTGATTTGCTTCCATATTTGTCTTGTTTACAGCAGACAGATAAAGAAGCTATCGAGGCGACACAGAGGAACAAGGGACCAACAACGGCGAATCAAACTCTTGTCGATCGGCTTAAAAGACGGGACAAAGGTTTTTCGGAGTTTGTACGAGCCCTGAGAAAATGTGGAAGCGAACACACTGCTTTGTTGTTGGACCCGTACTACAACTATCCAAGTAAGCCCTTATGCTCTATGAGATTGTATTTTAATAACCCTTTTTGCTCGCATGGCTATGGATTTTTTCGGAGACTGTTTTGGCTCTACAAAAGCATTGTTTTAATACGCCGGGTTACACGATTAGTTATTTTTGTTATCGAGATTTACAGAAGTTACCTGACGTACACTTATTTTACGGTCTATGAACGATAACGTCACTCTTTCATGTGATCTTTAGCCTTGTCTTAGGCTCGTGTCAATATGTTGTTCTAAAGTTGGACGTATCCCGCTTAAGATCATCCGGGCAGGAGGAATGCAAACTTTGCTTTCTTTCGTTAGATCCCATGAGTCACTCGGTTATGTATGAGTATGTAACTCAAAGCTCATTAAGTACGTGTGGGAGTTCAAAACTGCATATTTACTTGAGCTAGTGGTAATCATTGTAGTTAAGAAATTCATATCACTAACCGTGAAACTCCATCGAATTGAGACACCTACGTGGTAAGTCATTTCCACTGGACTTTACTAAAACTTGGCTCTACTTTCAATCTTCTCAAAGTTCGGTCAAATCTTATCCAGACACGAGCAAGTCATGATAGACTTTCAACGTGTCATTCGGCTCTGTTTACACATACTCGTATCCAGGTTGTTTGCGCTTACACTAATTTAACAGTGTCACGTGTCTCAGCATTTGGTCAGTATATTTGCATCTCAATGGACCACGGGGAGACACGGTCACTTCACGGTACATCGCTTCCTTCTCAGCGTTTGCTTGCTTCAACCAAAGATAAATATTCGTAAAATTATCTTAATTCAGTTGACGCAGGGGATGATGAAGTCGCTGTCTCAGAGGGCTCAGGAGTTGGTTACAAAAAAATTGGAACAGCAATTGGTAAGTGACATTTAATCATAATATTTTTGCGTTTATTTTATTAGATTTTTCGGGCAAAGCAGAAACATTTTGTTCTTATTATGACACTTAGATTCAATTTGTCTGTAATTATAATTAGTTCCGTAAACCTTCGCATTTACTCCTCCATTCCCTTATACGAGGGTCTCAATGGGGAAGGGGGGGATTGGCTTAGGGCTGACGTTAATCAGGAAGATATTTCTTTGATGACTTTGAGTTAATTAATTAAAGTTTTTCATTATTTCATCTAAATTATCAACTATTTTTATGTCCATTCAGTCTTCCTTTGACTAAGTGGAGTAAGGCGTGTTTCCATGACCTCTAATAATAATTCATGATCAGTTTCAAGGCCTGGTGTGAAACAATACCTTACTTTCTACTGTTACACGCGCAAACCATATAAGCAGAATTTTTTATAGACCTGATTCCTCAAGCTGGATTCGTCAAGGCGGTTTTCAGCAGCGTTCCATTTGTCGACCAGTAACATTATATTCGAGAACGTCTTTATATCACGGCAGTTCGTTGACATTTCGCTCAACATTAGTGTCATCTCTGAGCTGTTGTCAACCATCCTGGTGACATGGTTAAAACTGCGATGTCGACTCCATTTACTCTCCTTTTCCGGTTATCACACTCGCTAGTCCAAAAAGTACTGCATTGCTGACGTAGTGATTCTATGTGAACAGATTCGTTATGGTGGGTAGATGACGTAGAGGTATGTGTGTTATGTCCTAACTTGATGGTGGTACAAGTCCACGTCTTAGCACAGTTCAAGAGTACTTTCGATAGTTTTTGAACGATGTGGCGAGAAGCGGAAGGTAAATTCAAAGATCAAATTTTGTTGAGGGTTTGATTTGCCGTTCATATCTAATAGCGTTAAGTTTAATTCCAAGTCCTTGAACTCTTCATCTTAATTTTCCATGAATTCACTCTCCGAGTCGCTTCGGTACTCATCAATCTGGTCTGGAATTTTGGTATACTTGTGTCGCTAAACAAGGTCATTGCTGAACAGAAAAATCTCTTGCAGCCATAGAATTGAGATTTATCGTCCGAAAACTTCCAATGCTTTTCCCCAACAGAAATGCTTGTCTAGGATCGCTCGAAAGCTTTATCTTTTCCTTCAAAATACAAGCTCACGACGGCTTCCAACACGTTCGACGTGACATGACATGCATGACATGAAGTAAACTGTTGTCTGTAATGACTTGGTCCATAGGCGGGATTAACGCCGCGTGGAATGGCCTCTGGCAAGAATTAATAACTTATCAAATACGTTGGCTCTCTTTGAATATAAACTATTAAATTTAGATATCAAAACATTCCAAGCAATCAGTTTAGGCAAAAAAAAGTTAAAACGACCATAGAGTGAGTATCTGGAATCTGATTTGCCAGTTAAAAGATCCTTTAAAGACGATGTTCGACTGTTCGCGGTAAGCAGCTAAAATGGGGAAATAGCAAAATCCGAAACACCTTTCAAGCATCTGACGGTTAGTATTCACCTACTATTTTACAATTGACGGTAAAATTAGCATTTTTGACGGCAGACAGTTAAATTTTAGGCCCTTTGACGGCTGACGGTTAAACCCCACTGCGACCCTCTTTTACTGGCATGCCTTGAGTCGCGTGGGGGCACTCTTCAAGGAGAAGAAATTACCTAAAATTTGAATAAGACTGAAAATATGCTCTAGAAATATAAAACGTGTACACAAGGACCAATGAATATTGCTAAAAGTGAAATTATGAATCATGAATTGTCGCGACTGAACATTAACATCTTGTTTAGTTTTTCAACATTTTTCATCTTTTTATACGTATTGCGCGCAATTGCATTAGTGACGTTCAGGTCATATGATTTACACGGCCTCGTGGTTGAGAAATGTAAAACTAAATGGTTAAATTCTGGAAAACAATTCATATTTTTGTGGTTGAAGCAATTTACACGACAGGAATCATGGCGGTTGAAGTAGAAGGAATCATGAATTTTCGTGTTTAAAACTTGACAATCATGGATCTCGAGATACAGTTATAGAATGAATCATGACTATCAAAAAAGTCGCTTAGTCTTTTCTTAAGCTGTTCTTTTTCTGATTTTTTTTAAACAGATGTTTCCTTTAGAGGAATTCTATCATTAGAAACCAGTGTGGACGAGGAACAAACCGAGAGCGGTTCCGATCTGGAGGAGTATTTGGCTGGCCTTTTCGGGAAACAGTCGTCTGAAGAAAGCAAAAGAATGCGAAGAGATCTGCAAAAAGTATGTTTTTAGGAAAATGTGTGTACCACAGCAGACCTGTTATCAAAAATCATTAAACTGAGTAAAACCTGAATCAGTTGGACCCCATATAAAAGCGGACGAGACAAATACTTCTCTCCATTTTTTCTTTTGGTGGAGCAAGTTTGTCACCCACAATTTGAAATAGAAGCGAACATTTCAAAACATTTTTGCATATCACAGGAGAAATAACGAGTTTGGAAACAGTCAGTGTTTACACGTCTTAATTCGTAATTCAATTTTCCTCTTTTTTCTCCTTTTTCTCTCAACACTATAAAACAAGGCCTGTCGGCCCAGTGTTCGATAGCAAATTAGCAAAGCGTGCGTCTGCGGCTTTTGCTTCTTTCCTCTACAGAGGTGAGAAATTTTTTGAGAAATCTGCACACTGTAGAGGTTGTGTCAGAGATGGTCAAGTAATATCACATCATGTCATGTTGTCTCAAGTATAGCAAACATAAGCCGAATGGATGCAGTTTTCCAAGAACCACCTTGACACGAGGAAAGGCATTTCCTTGAATTTGAGTCACGCATTAGTTAGGATTAATTAACGCAACATTACGTTTACTCACCATTTGGAGATGACATAAGTGTTTCTAGTCAAAACTTGTCCACAAAAAGCTCAATTGTGGATATACTTTTATGATTTTTTTTTTCAGCATCTTCCTCAAGGAGCTGTTTTTGTTAACACTGCTAAAGGTTCCGTCATTGCAACTTTCCGCTTGTCAACGGTGGAGGCAGCCGAGAAATTGTGGGAAATGTACAGTAAACAAACATTTCAGGACAAATTAAAAGAAGTCCTGGTGGAAGACACTCTGAAAAGACACCAAAAGCTCCCAGACAAGCCGCTCGAACTAAATATAACGTTTAGCGAAGATCGGTTTAAACAAATTCAAAAGAAACTCAAAGGTAGTTAACAACACTTTGGTAAAACTTTTAAATACCGTACTGACCATTTAATTTTGTCCAATGTTGCTAGAATATTGCAAGACGAAAGACCTCGGCTCGTAGTAATTTAGTAAACGATGTGTTAGGTTTCGGTGTACGATGTATATTTAAGCAAGCTGGTCAAGGTTGCGAATAGAGTTTAAGGTTGTGAGGGGAAAAAACATGTCACGCTTTCTAGTAAGACTTTGACTGTAATGTTAGGTTAATGACAGGACTCCTTTTTTAACGGATGTTGAGCGTTCTCAGTTACGAAAATGTGTTATCAGTACTCTATATGTGAGAAGGGTAGCGACACTGGCGATTGGCGTGAATCTAAAACATTTTGACAAGCACGTTGAGGGGTCAAGTCCCTTCCCGCTGCATGGGTTGAATGAAAGAAAGTTTTAAAAGT